CCCCTATACTTTTTTCACTAGTAGGAAAGGGGAGCGTGGAGGCAAATTCGGTTAACAAGACAGCCAGGAGGCGTAAATGTGCTCCCCTGCAAATTCAGAGGCGTTTACAATACGTTGAACAAATATCGAAAAAACAAATCATCGCTAAGGAATAAAAGCAAGAGTGGGGGAGAAAAAAAAAAAAAGTAAATAGGAAGTAAAAAAAAAACAACTCGTGGTGTGGGTTTTCCCGTGATCCTGTTGGCACTCTGGCCGGGCACACCCTAACTGGGGGCCCCGCAAAAAAAGTTTTTGTTTGCTTTTAAAACCGTCTGGGAGAAAGGGGGGGGGGGGACACCAGGACACGGTAAAATAAAAATAACGTTTCGAGTGGTTAGGAAGTGTAGTTTTTGTATTTTTTGTTTTTTTCGGGGATGGGTGGCTGGGGGGACTTATTAAAGTGCAAGATTCACCCCCCTTAAATACGCTTTGCCACGTCGTCTCTTTCATGACAAAATTTCTCCTATTCTCCCTTAAAACCCAACCCTTGTTTCCCTAGTTTTCCCTAAGGGAACCCAAGTAGATCGAAAATTTTAGCATTATTTCTATACTGTTGAATATGGTTACTTTTTTAATAATATATAATATATGCAAAAATTCGCGGGCATGCAAAAATAACACAAACACTGATTCTGGTGGGGAGACTCAAACCCTACAAACCTTTTAGGACAAGGTAACGTGCTTTACCAATTACCCAATGGCCAATCCCTTGGGTGTAGCATCCGCAACTTTGACCCAAGGCAGCCAGCTTTCAGGGAAAAGGCTTACGCTTTTTCATCTCATCATCTGCATGCATCAGCTTACTAAGATTTGAACAATGAAAGGAATTCGCGAGAGCATGCAAATATACACAAACATGATCCTTTGGGTGAAAGAGACTCGAACCTCGAACCCTTTGGACAAGGTAGCAGTTTGTGTTTTTGGGATATTTTTGCATCTCTCGAATCCTTGCATTGTTCAAATCTCTATAAGGTGATCATGAAAGGGGGTGAAGAAAAGCTGTAAGCCTTCTCCCCAAAAAGCTGGGCCTTGGTCAAAAGTGTAGCGGATGCTACACGCCAAGGTATTTGCCATGTGGGTAGATTGGAAAGCACTCGTCCTTTTCCTAAGGGGTTTGTAGGTTTGAGTCTCCTTTGCCGAGACAGTGTTTTATATATATATATATATATATTATATAAAATTTAAAATAATAATATTTATATATATTATATATAATATATAATATATTTTAAAAGTGTGTGGTGTGGTACTAGCGCGGGAAAAGAACATTTCCCGGTTTCCTTCCCCCTTTTTTTAGCTGGATATAGCAAGGAATCAATGCTGT